GGCGGCTGGCAGGAAGTGACTCAGCAGGCGCAGAGACCGAGGAAGGAACGTGAGAGGTGAGAGCTGTCACACAGTCCTGCCGTCTCGGCAACTGTGAGCGCATGCGGGACAGGCAGCAGGCGAAAGTGTGTGTTAAGGAGAGGGGAGGGCAGGCCTGACAAAGGCTACCCGGATGTGCATTGACTTTTGCTGCAAATACATTCGTTGGGGGCGGGGTGGGGGGAGCATAGATAGAGGCCCCGGGGATGAGAACCGTGGTCTCAGGGACACCACAGTCAACCGAGCCGACCTCCTTCACCAAGACAGTGCTCTCTGTCTTACTGTGGCAAGCAGTAACTTGGGTCTTGCAAGTCACCAACACCCATTGGAGGTCCCATCACTGGTCTCTTCCCATCCGGAAGAAAGAAGAGGGGTTGAACTTGGAGATGTCAGTGGACTAAGGGGCTACACAAGCATCAGTGCCCGCACCGCCGAGACCCACAGAACTCGATGGTGCCCACAGCCCTGAGACCCACAGAACTAGATGGTACCCACAGCCCCGAGACACAAGAACTCAATGGTGCCCGGCTAGCCCAACCAACTGCTCCGAAAAGGATCACATCAGCAGTCCCTGGATAGAGTGTGAGAAAAAGTGACACACAATTTGAAGTCATAAGAGACGAAGCTGACCAGTCAGGCTGACTGGTGGAACTCTGAGACTATGGCCCCTTTGACCCCCTTCAGGCTGGAACTGAGCTTTTCCCCTGTGGCTCCGATTTCAGCCCAACAACAGGCAGGGGAAGAGTGACACTGGGAAGCCACACAGCCCTTAGACTCATCGCCAGCTGAGGTCAAGGCGCAGCACTGAGCCCTCGAGGGGAAGGTTGGAGGACGAGAAGAAACGGGAAACCTGGAGTTAGTGGGATGAGGCGCGCTACAACGTGGGGAATGTGTAAGTATTGTAGAATGCAGAACGGGTCACCTATCTGCTCTGTGAACCTTCATCCGTTCACAATACAACGAGTTACACAGAGTGGGGTGAACGGAGGCGGGGCTGCGTTCCTAAAGAGCTGCGTTCCTAACGACACGCTGTGAGCTGGCACGGACTCCCAGGCACTCACAGCAGCAAGAGGGATGTGCAGTCCTTGGAAGTCTCGCCAGTTGACGCTCTGTCACTCACAAAAAGATTGGGGGTGGGAGCCCACTCAGCCACCGTGGAAGAAAATAACAAAAGAACCTATCTAGATGGAGAAAGGTGGGTGTGGGGACCAACGTCTCGTGTCCCTTCCTCACCACGCCTCCGCCTCCGGGGCTCAGGACCCCCACATACACAGGCAGCTCTGCCCACGCCAAGACCCCTGGACCACGGCGGCAGGCTCCATGTGCTTCTCAAGGAAACCATGGCCTTGTCTCAGGGGGAAAAGGCAGGTGACAGCGCCCTGCCCCTGCAAGCCCAGGAGTCCCATAGACAGGTGTGGGCGTGCCCCCGCCCCGCTGCAGCTCTGTGCTTGGGCCTCACCTTCCCCTTCCTGAAGAGCCTTCTGGTCTCCCACGGCCTCGGGCACCAGCTTCCCGTAGGAGTGGTTCGGGCTGGAGGCAAACTTCTTGGTGTCGAAGTAAACAGAGCCATTGGAGGCATAGCTGGAGGGGAGGGGTGGGAGGTTTACCAGGTTCTGAGCACCCCCGCACTGCGGTGCCAGAAACACTACAGTGGGTGGCAGCTGGGGTGGACGTGGGTTCTGGCACACCTCAGGCCAGAAGTCCAAACATATGGGGTCAGCTCAGGGAAGTGACCTTTCTCGGAGGGGCGGGGGTTCCTCTTTCTGAGCTCACAGACAGAGGAGCAGGCGGATAGCCAGTGGACAGTGGGGTGGAGGAAAGGCCTGCACTGGGGTGAACACGAGGACATGTGACTGGCCCCTTAGAACCACAGCCTCCTGGTCTCCCGGAGTCCTGCCTGGCTGGTGGATTGCTGCCCCACTGAGACTTGACTTCGAGGTCACTTCATGCTAGGGAGGCCCCGGGGCTCACCCGTAACCGTTGTCCACAATCTTCTCCACAAAGCTCACGATTTCAGGCACGTATTCACTGACCCGAGTCAAGACATCTGGAGGCAGGACCTGCAGTGACGAGAGTGAGGGGTGCCCGGTGTCCGCTGTTGGGAAAACTTGGCCCCGCTGAAAGCATGTCTCAGTTTGGCACAACGAGGGGCTCTGTGCCGGTGTGACGACCCCACTTAGCGGTGAGCTGAGGGGGGCACCCCCAGGGCTGCGCACTCACGTTCAGAGCCGCCATGTCCTTGTGGAAGGCCTCCTCCCAGAACTTGGGTAGTTCGGAGAAGATGGAGTTATCTGTCACCTCGCCGCCAAGCCTGGTGTCCAGCCACTCGGAGAGCAGGTCCCTGGCCTCCTCCAGCAGCTCCTGAGGGGAAGGCCAGAAAAGTGCTGACCCGGCGCTCCATCTCCCAGCACTGCGGCCACGGCGGGCTCATCTCCCGGGGGCCGGCAACCTGACCTGTGGCACGGACCCACCGCCAATGAGTGGTGCGAAGCAGACCCAGACGTTGCGCGGCCTGGTGAACTGGGGGAAAGGCCGTGTGTGGCCAATGACAGCACAGATCCTAAGGGGACAGGCCGGGTCAGAGGAGAGGGCAGAGCCACTGATGTACTAGAGGGGTGGACCCCAGCTTTTCCTACAACACAGACAGCGACTGTACACGCAGACTTCTCTAGATGGAACACACAAGAGTCACACCGAGCACGCCTGTGGGAAGACACGAGGGAGAAGCTCAATGTCAGGAGCTGACAGGCCAGGGGCCGGCTGTGGTACAAGCCATCAATTGCTCGTGTGTAAGCTCAAGCTGAGGTTGAAGAACGTGAACAGCCCCCGGGTCAAAGTATGACCTTCAATGTGTGATGCGAGAGCAGTGACGTGACGCCGTACAGGGAGAAAGCCACGGGTCATTAACAAGACAGGGAAGGAAGACCGAGTGAACATCAGCTCTTCTGTGGGCAGAGGAGCTAAATTAGTGAACGATACACAGGGGGCCGACATTAAAGAGTTAAATAGAACACTCCAGAGGGCAGCGTGGGAGACAAAACTGAGAAGGAAGCACACACTCAGCCTAGCTTAGATGGAGAACTGGCGAGAAAGTCAAGCCTCGACGGGCAGCACGGAAAGATTCTACGGAATGGTGCAGGACGTATCAAAAGATGGAAAGGATACAGAGTCACTGTACCAGAAAGAACTAGTCGGCAGTCCGTCGTTTCAGACGGCCGCATCTGAGCAAGAACCAACGGTGCTGAAGGCGGGCGTTCAAGCTGCACCGAAGGCACCGGGCGAAAAGGAGGCTCCAGGAATGGATGGAACACCCAGCGAGGCGTCTCAGCAAGCAGGCGCACTTGTCAAAGCCAAGCAATTGAAAGACAGCTGCCCAGTCCACACACGAGGAGATGCGTTATCTGTAGCTGTTTCAAAGAAAGGTAGCCCCGCGAATGCAGAAGACAAAGCGGCTTCGCTGACATCGCATGCATGTGCGAGTCTGCTGCCGGTCTTCCCCCGGAGGCTGCAGCGGCACTTCACAGACAGGCCGCCGCCACAGGTTCAGGCAACTCGGAGGAGCACGTGGCACAGGGTCTTCGCGGCCGACGTCGGGTGGAGCTCAGCGGAGAGCAGGAAGATGTTTACTGCTTGTGCTTTATTGACGGCGACTGCGTGGATTATAACAAACCACAGCTAATGTTGCCAACAACGGGAATTCCAGAACACTTTACGGTGCTTCTCCGGAACCTGAATTTAGACACAGAGACAGCCTTTTGTACAGAACAAGGGAATAATGCGGGGTTTACAGTCAGGAAAGGTGTGCGTCAGGCTTGTAGCCTCTCACCACACACTCAGTGTGCCTGCTGAGCAAATGCTCAGAAGCCGGCCCCGATGAAGACGAGTGTGGCATCGAGATTGGCGGAAGGACCTGTGATGTGCAGATGGCACACCCTGGCTCGCTCAAAGTGAGGAGGACCCGGAGCACTTGCTGATGAGCATCAAGGGTGGCATCCCTCAGCGTGGGTCATGACTCAGTGTCAAGAAAACAAAAAGCGCACACTGGACCAACAGGTGACACCAGGATGGATGGAGAAAGGTCGAAGTTCTCACAGATTTCGTCCTGCTTGGATCCACAGTCAAGGCTCATGGATGCAGCCGTCGAAAGGTCAGTCGTCACACTGCTTTGGGTCAATCTGCTACACAGCGCTCTGTCGAGCACTATAAGGCAAGGGCGTCCCGCTGAGGAGTGAGGTGTGCTCCTTGCCCAGGCCACGGCACCGTCCGCCGCCTCACACGCATGCGGCAGTCGGACGGGAACAGGAGACCGAGGAAGCACTGCGGTGCTGGAGAAGGCTAGTCAAAGCGCCGTGGAGCGCTACACGGGCCAAACTGTCCGTCTTGGAAGAAGTACTGGTACATCCAGAGTGCTCCTTAGAGGCAAGGATGGTGAGATTTCACCTCACATCCTTGGGACGTGTTGTCAGGAGAGACCAGTCCCTGGAGAAGGACATCGCATTTGGTAGAGTGGAGGGGCGGTGAGGAGGAGGAAGGCCCTCCACCAGATGGACGGCCACGTTGGCCGCCACCACGGAGGCTCAAGCCTGGGAAGAATGGCGAGGAGGCCCAGGGCCGGCAGGGCCTCGCTGCCTTGTGCGTCGGGCTGCCACGAGTCAGAACCAGCGGACTACCACCAGAGGCTCATCGAATTTGAAGGGCTATTTCAAATCAGCAATTCAAAACTCCGCCCGTGGCCACTCTGACGAATGCTAGCAGACATGTGGGAAATCAGCCCGAGGTCAGAGTTTACGGTGCTCTGGTCCTAACCCAGGCACGGGATGGTCATGGTGCCCACTTCCCTAAGGCGGACACTTCATTTAGCCAGGCTTCTTGGGATCCCCAAGGTCTCACGGAGTGGCCAGCAGGGGGCGCTGGCGCAGAGGAGACTGGTCATCTGTCTGTGTGTCCCTAGCTCAGGGGAGGCCTGACCCCTACGCACGACAGAATGAAACGCTGACCAGTCCCGCGCCACCTTCCGTGGTTCTTAGGCTTGAGCCCATTGTTGCAACAACCACTCTGAGCCTGCGCCCTCTTCTCTCCGCTGCCCCTCCACTTTACCCAGCACGATGCCCTTCTCCAGGCCCTGGGCTGGCAACGTGCCCAAAGTACCTGCCACCCTAGCCTCTGAGGAGCGAGCGCTCTGGCCGTCCTTCTTCCCAGACGGATCGGTTCGCTCTTTTCGCAGAGCAGCTCGTCCACAGCACGAGCCAGCCGCGCCTCAGAGGAGCTGGCATGGAGCTACGGGATAAGGGTACAATAACAGAAGCAGACTTGGGGAAGATTAATACTGATTTCAGAAATCGAGCACCCACGGAAAGGGCCGGGAGCAGAAGTGGTCAGTGGAAGGCCGGGTCAGCGAGCTTGAGGACACGTCTCCCCCCACCGATCTGTTAGATTACAACAAGGATCTGTGAGAGGGGCAACAGAGAGATAGAGCACTCCAAAGAGAGCCTAAGAATGACCTGGGACGCTATCGGGAAGAATAACGTAGGTGAGCTGGAATTCCAGAACAGAGAGAGATGGAAACTCCCGCAGTGTCACGAAGGCCGAGGAGCTGTGCACTCAGGAGGCTGAGTGAATGGGCTGGGGCAGACCCAAGCGAACACCGACAAGGCACACCACCATCAAACCGAAGACGGACGGGCTCTGGAGAGCAGCTTCGGAAAAATGATAAGCAGCCTACAAAGGAGAAGCCTTAACTAAAGCCGAGCCCTGGTTGCTCAGCAGAAAACACACCAGCAGGAGGGCAGGGCAGGGTGAGCGAGGCGACTGTCACACTCACAAAGCAGAACCACGGCCGAGCAAGAATCAGACACCCAGCACCCTCGTCCACAAAGGCACTGGTGCAATCAGGGCATTTCACCCCCCAGCTCGGGCCAGACACGCACGGACAACAGAAATGTGGGTGAAGAGAGACAGTGGACAGTGTATAAGATATGAAAAGAATAATGACTTACAATTTATCAAGGGGTCACGAGGATGGGGAGGGAGGGAAAAAAGAGGAGCTGATACTAAGGGCTCAAGTAGAAAGAAAATGTTTTGAAAACTTGTGTCAAGCACAGATGTACAAATGTGCTTGACACAACGGATGTGTGGATGGTTATAAGAGCTGTAAGAGCCTCCAATGAAAAGGATTTCTTACAAAATAAAAATAAATCAGAACATTTCCAATAGAGGGAAATTAAAGGAATTTGTAAAAACCAGGCCGACCTCATGAGGAACACAAACAAGAGCAGACAACATCCCAAGATTAACCCGCAGGACACCCTCCCGGCACGTCAAACAAGCCCGAGAGACCCCACACAGGGAAGCAGACCTAACAGTGTAGCAGCGCAGACAAGGAAGAAGCCCGGTGAAAGGGGGAACAGTGTGGCGAAAGAACTTCTGCACTGGAGGAGTCCAGTAGATAGAACAGAGGGCAGTAAACCTGGGAAGAAATTAACGCATCACAGGACCACCTCAGAGACACAGAATGAACCACATCGAAGTAAAAGAGAGGGAAATCACAAAGAATTAGTGAACACTAAGCCAACAGCAACCAAGGAGTGACAAGGAATTCCACAAACAAAATGGAATGTGCTGGGTGCACAGGACCAAGTCATGAAAGCCCGCCTCAGACATAAACAAGCAACACCTTGAGGGCGCACGTCGCGGGGCCTGGGGGTGGGCACGGTGCACACCCAAGTCCTCTGGCATAACCTCCTTCACCCACACAGTGCTCGTCCTACATCCGACTTGGTGAGCAGCACCGGGGTGGTCAGTCCATGAGTGGTCACCTAGGGTGCAACCAGAGGCCTCTCCTTTTCCGAAGAAAAGACGGGTAACAAAGACTGAAGGCACGCAGGACCACGAAAACAAAGGACATTGTGGGCTGAAGGCCTCAGCGACCAGAAGCACCCCAGGGTGCCTGCCGGCTCTGATCGGGACCCCGGAGGAGGGCCTGGAGAGAGGGAGGAAAGGTAGGACAACTCACACTCATCAGAGATCGGGCCTGCTGGTCAGACGTGGGGGCGTGGAGCCTCTGAGACCCTTAGTGGCCCTTAGTCACCCTCAGGTCTGGAATGGAACATGCCCGGCTCCATTTTCCGCCCCACGGGTCCATAAGGAGGACACTGACTGAGATGAAGGGGCTGCACCTGCCCAGGGTCAAGCCCAGGAGGGCTGAGAGAAGGTGGAGGCAGCACGCGGGTGCGGCAATGAACGGCATCAGGCAAACGTGCATGAATCTTTGAACGCAAAACGGATGGGTTTGCTCCGGCAAGCCTCCTCCCAGTCAAACACTTCAGGGAAAATGGAACAGAAAGAGAAGGGCATTTCCCCACAAGTGTTTGGAAGCCCCTTGTAGCTGGGATCAAATGGACCACAGCAAGGCAGTGAGTTTACGGGGGCTCCCCTCAGAAAAGGGGGTGAGCGTGGCTGCACACAGGAAGAACGTCAACCAGGGCTCAGAGCCCTGCGTGCAGAGATGGTGGATGGGTGAGTGTCTGTGATTATTCTCAAGCACCTCCTCCTCCCCGAGCCTCACAGAGTCTGCAGAAACATGCACCTGAAAGAGAAGGTGACTTTCTGGCCGTTCGGGCACCCCTGGGACAGGGCGCGCAGAGGACAAGTGGGGCCCCCAGCCTTCGGTGTGGCATATGATGCTGGCAGGGTGTCCTCCCTGCTGGATGGAGGTGGGGAGGGCATCAGGATGGGGGGCTCAGATGGGCCCTAAGGACCTGGGCCACCTGTGGGACGCAGCTTTGAGGCAGGACAGGCGGAGCCTCACCTGCGCGCAGCTGCTGGTCTCGGGGGCGGTCGGCGCGGCCTGCAGGGCTCTGGTTAGCAACTCCATGGCCAGCTCCACGAATCGCTGCGTCCGCTGCAGCAGCTGCCGTTTGTAGGGGTCTGATGTCTCGCTCAGTTTTGCTGAGAAGAGCTGGGCAAGGGTGGTGGTGGTGGAAACATGTTAGCTCCCGGCCAGCACAGAGCGGCTCCCCACGGGCCCAGAATCCTTTCCCCCAAACTGAGGCCAGCTACAGTCCAGTGGCCGCCTCTGCTCAGGCCTGAGCCTGAGCCTGTTTCCCTGGTGGGAGAGCATCCATCCCTGGATGGCTATTCCGAGGGACTCAAAGAAGCTGGTTTGTCTGGGGAACCCCGAACCCACCCCCGCCGGTAAGAGCCCTTGGCCAGGGCCCCGACCATGTCTTGTTGCCCTTCCAGACATGGAGAGCCATGGGCCGGGGGCTCTGAAGGGGAAGGACCCTCCTCTGGTGAGCTCTCTCCCCTGGAGCTGAGGGCCGGGGACCCCGCGGGGCGGCTCTGCAGCCACAGCAGCGCCAGGAGTCAGGGCTCGCTGTGTGCGAGTGAGCAGTGTGAGGTCGCCCCGTCAATTTCTGGGCTTGCTCGGCGGCCTCTGGTGAGGAATGTCCGCCTGTGGGGAAGCAGCCGGGCCGGTGGCATAATGGCGAGGGCTGGGCTGCAGACTGAAGGCCTGCCGGCAGCAGCGGGGGACGCCGGGCGGCCCGCTGCCCTGAAGAGTACAGCCTGGAAACCCCGCAGGGTGGCTTCTCCGTCACCTCGAGGGCTCCCGGCAAAGACACCGTGCAGTCAGCCCAGAGAGCACACCAGCTCGAGGTGGGGCCCCAGGCGGTGGGGGGTGGGTGATGGTGACGTGTGAGACTGGCAGCGTGTCTGTGTGGAACACCGAAGCCCTGCCCCCTGGTCACACCCATCCTCCCGAGGACCTCCGCACAGGCCGGGGGCCAGCGGAGCCAAGAGCCCGGCCACCCCACACTGGCAGAGGTCGTGCTGGGTGCTCTGCCAACCCTGGCCGTGCACAGACTGCTCTAGGGACAGGGCTGAGGCCAGCGTCACACGGGAGGCCACCTGCAGGGCGGCCTGCACGTCCTCCAGGAGCTGGGCCGGCTGTGGCTGCTGCGCCTGGTACCGCTCCCACAGGTGGTTCTGGCGCGCACGCTTGATGATCTGGGGAGAACGGCAGTGAGTGAGTCGGGGGACCCCCATGCAGGCGGGGCAACACGAGCCCTCCTGCGCCGTCGCCAGCCACCAGGTGCCCAACGTGCAGAACTGGGTCGGGACACAGGGCGCACAGTTGCTGAGACACGAGGATCAAGTCGCCAGTCCCCACACCCTGCAGGTTCCCAGGCAGCTCCGCCCACAGAAAGCCCCACCTCCATCATGGTGGGCTCCCTGTGCTCACGACCTGGTCAGTTGGGCCCCTCGGGTGGTCTCTGCTCTCTGAACGATGACGGGGTCTTCCCATGCACGCACGCACCACGCACACGCAGCAGCCCCGAGTCACGGCTGAGCGGCCCTCACCTGTGCTGCTGTTGGCCTGCTCACCCGAGGGGCCGTCCCCTGCCCCCCGTCCCCCGAGCCCTCACCGCTGGAAGGCGAGGCCCACCTTGTCGTCGATGTCGGTGATGTTCATGCAGTAAAACACGTCGTACTTGAAGTAGTCCTTCAGCACCCGCCGCAGGATGTCGAAGGAGATGTAGGACCTAGGGGGGGAGCACCGTCCGGGCTGCCGTGCGCACGCCAGGACCCGGACTCGCCAGGCAGGTATCTCCCTCTGTGACAGCAGCAGCACCCAGAGGGCCACCCAGAGCCGCGGTCACAGCCGTGCGTCCGTGTGCACACAGGACCCAGACCGGCCAGGCAGAGGAATCTCCCCGACCAAGGCACCCTGAGGACCAGGCAGCGCCCACAGCTGCAGGCCGTGCCCGTGTGAGCCCGGGACCCAGGCGTGTCAGGTCTCTCCGTGACTGAGCCACTGAGGCCACTCAGCCCACAGCTGAGCTTGGGGACCAGGGAGCCCTTTCCGGGCACAGACGCCGTGGCTGGCCAGGTGCTAGGTGACCCACGACAGACCGCTCACTTTGTCACCGAGGCAAGCCTGTCAGCGTGCTACTGGCACCTCCTCTCAGGAGAGAGTGTCCTGCCGAAAAGGGAGAGGTGGGGCGCACACCCAGACTAGAGACATGCGCCCGTGTCCCCAGCAGCTCCAGCCATGGGAGCTGGGAGGGGCCACCCTCAAGGTCCAGCAGGGAACCAGGGGCAGCTGCTGTGTGGCCTGAGCCTCCCTACGTCCTGTCCCACATGCCACATCCCCCTCAAGCCCTACCTGGCATGCCCCATGTGGGAGGCGTCATAGACGGTCGGCCCGCAGCAGTACCAGGTCACCTTCCTCCCGTCTTGTGGGATAAACACCTCCTTTGTGGGACCCGAGGAAGGATGATCAGAAGGACACACAGAGGCCATGAGCCGTGGGCTTGTGCCAGGGGACAGAGGGTGACGAGGACCCGCTTCCTGAACTGGAAGGGCCCAGCAGCTCCTCTGCGGGAGCTCGGCCAGGAAGGGCAGGGGTCAGCACGGGGCCAAGCTGGGCCTCGGTGGAGAAGGGCTGGGTGTGGATGGCTGAGCCGGAGCCTCAGCGGAAGGGCTGGGGGTGGACACGGGCCGCCGGCGCTCACCTTGCTCCGGGTGAGGCTGTTGTACAGGCGCAGCTGGCATGGCTCGGTGCCCGTGGGTGGTGACCACTGAGGCTGCCCACGCCGGCCTTTACCTAGGGAAGAGGCAGTGGTCAGACCCCCACAACACCAGAGACGCTCAGCTGGGGGCAGAAAGCCGTGCGCTCACTTTTGCCAGGGGCCACTACACAACCCCGCCTGCCCGGCAGAGCTGTCCCGGCCCTCACTGGGTCTCAGTGCCTGCTCGTTACTCTGGGACGCTGCCAGGACCCTTCTCTGGAGGGTCCCTACTGCCTCTCCACCTCTGGGTGGTGGCCAGGCACAGGGCCTGGTGACCAGGCAACACACTAGCTAGGTCTGCACGGCTTCCCACTGCTGCGCCGTGCCTGAGTCAGCGACAGGGCCTTGTGACAAAGGAGAAGGGAGGCTGTGGGCGTGGGCAGGGGGAGGACAGGTGGCCGGACAGCAGGAGCCCTCGTCCAGGGGAGTCCCTGCACAGGTTGCCCCACCGCTCCCCACAGGAAATACTGTGCTGAGGGTGAAGGGGTCCCGCAGATGCACCCTTGAGGGTCCCGTGCGGCAACTCAGGGCGCCCGAGCTACCGTTTTGTGCGGCCACCCCTCCCCCTCATTAAGGCTCCGGAACTCATGGAACGAGGACGGAGACACAGCCGAGCTCACTTCCTGGCGTCACCCGGACGCTGCCACCGGCTTCCTGCGCAGGACCCACGCCTCTCAGCAGAGAAAACATGGGACCCTGGGGACAGGCCACGGCCCAGCGGCCACAGCCAGGAGCGCGGGCCCTGGTGATGGTGGCCAGGGGCTCCCTTCAGGGGCCCACAGCTCTACACGCTGGGTAGGCTTAAAACAGGGCACTGGATGCCCACAAGCGGGTGGCCCCCCAAAGTCCAAAAAACCAACCCCCCACCCACTCACCAGTTCGGCTCCAGCCACTGAGGGCTCTCCTTTCCCTGCAAGAGGGGGGTCCTTTTACGGTCTCAGAAACCCACAGGGGCAGCTCTACCCTGTCCTATGGGATCGCTATGAGTCGGCTTCAATAACGTCTGAAAGACGCGAGACAAAGCCTTGCCATGCTCCCGTCCAAACGGCAACCAGGCCGCACTTCATCCCAGACAGACTCATTTGTTCTTCTGGCGGCCCATGGTATAGTCAAATCTTTGCCAGCGCCGTCATCCGAAGCAGCGACTCGCCCGTCCCCCCCCACCGTCCGCTCCCCTGCTCAGCTGTGAAGGCACGTGAGGCGCTTGGAAATACTGTGGTTTGGGTCAGGCACACTTCAGTCCTCAACGCAGCCTCCCTTCCTAACACTCAGGCCCTGCTTCCCCGGCGTTGATGGTGGGTCTGAGTCTAGGGAATTCTTTGCTAAATTCAATTTCCTTTCTTATCACAATGCTGTCTATCGATTCACTGGTGAGAGCTTTGGTTCCCTTGACACCGAGTTGTCATCCTGGACCTTCATCAGCAAGGGCTTCAAGTCCTCCTCACTTTGAGTGAGCAAGGTCGTGCCATCTGCACATCGCAGGCTGTTCAGAAGCCGACCTCCGATCCGTCTTCGGATCATCCACTCAGCATGCAGAATGACTAGGTCCGGTGCAAGGGCACATCCCGATACTCAGCTTTCCTGATTTTAAACCATGGGGCACTCCCTTGTTCCATTCAAATGACTGCCTCTTGGTCCTTGTACAGGT